CCCCACAGGTCACCCCTCAATTCATCCGCCCCCACCTGGAAACAGGTCCGATAGGATCCCATTGAACAGCGGGACATCATGCGCCAAAAACTTGCACAGGTTTACATCCACAATGGCCCGCAGCATCAGCGCCGCCTCATCTTCCGACGGAAAGCGCCGCTTGAGGTTGCCGGCGGCGCGCAGCACGGCCATGACGGCGCGCATGCCCTGGGGTGGCGGGCGCAGAGTGGACGGGGGCGCGTGCGGGCGTTGGTGGGTGCCGTCTTTGGCTGGGGGGGCAGGGAGCAGCTGTGCGGACGCAAGTCAGCGCAATGCCGGTGTGTGTGGTTGCAGCAACACCTTGATCATACTCTCTTCAAATCATACACTACAACTCTGTTGGAGCATAAAACAGCCTCACGTAGTCGTAGTGGTCCTGGCTGGACAGCTGCTCGCTACAGAGCCGGTAGGTCGCGACAATCTTGCGGGCACACTCTCTTGCCTGGGTGTTTTTCGGGCGGAGTGATGGGTGACGGGTCGGCAAGGGCGAGGTGTTCCCTAAGGTTGCTTGGGATGCGCCAAACATGAAAGGAACCCGTGCAGCCAGCGCGGGCACAAGCACGGACACAAGCCCCACGTGCCAGCCAGCATGATCACCACGAGTCGTTTGGATACTGAGTTGCTTGACTGCTCACCTTCATGTAGCCAGAGCTGTAAAGCATGATCTCCGCAATCATTGCGTAATCCGGCACCTGTTTCGGTTGGACATTACGCCAGCAATCACGAGTGGGGCAGGGTGGGTTGGGGAAGCTTCACGTGGTCAACCGAAAGATGCCGACTCATCGCCAAACAGAACAGGCACATGAAGCATGGCGTCAGGGCCGTGGGTGGACACCCTACTAAGCAAGGGTGCCGTCCAGGTCACTCGGCCAAGGTCACTCAGGTCACCCGCTCACCATCATGGCAACAGTCCTGAAAAGAGCCTTCAGATTGTCAGGCAGCTCGCTGCGGCCGGCATACCTGGAAGTGGAAGGTGCAGGTGGCGCCATATCGCCAACAAGCTCCGGACCCTTGCATGCGCCGGCCCCACAAGACCCGCTTTCAAGGCATGCTCAGTGCATGGTGCAGGGCTGGCGTCTCCAGGGGCTGCAGCCGGGCGCTGCCGGAGGGGTCCTGCAGAGTTTCTTGACACCCCCACCCCATGCAGTAGCTCTCACCCAGGGTTCATTGTGATGAACACGTTGCAGCTGGGCCGCAGCCGCAGCTCGGTGCCCTCAAACACAAACGTCTTGAGGCGGCCCCGCACTGCTGCCTGGATCTCCGACACCTGCTGCGCCACCACGCTCAGCACCTGGAGAGTCAAGATCGGTCAAATCGAATCCAAGCCCGGGGATTGCGCGATGGATCGGTCGGTTGGTTTGTGTGGACCAAGGCTGCCGCAACGCGCAGGATGCAGGGCAAGCTTGCGACCATGCAGGGTGCAAACGATACGTCTTTCTGTGCCCTTTTTGGCGCGGGCAAGGTGGCACTGGCTCCAGCGGCCGCAACGGCGGCAGCAGACGTGCGCTGGGCAGGCTTGTCAGTGTCCACCAGTTCCAAACAAAGAAAAGATACTCAGCCTATCCCCACCTCGAGGTCGATTCGGTTGAACTCGTCAAAGCAGGCCCACGCCCCAGCACTGGCCAGCCCCTTGAAAAACTTGCCCTGCGGGGGGAGGTGGGACACAAGGGGGCCCCGTCCCTGGTGAGTGCCCAGGGCGCTGCCGTGTGGCGCGAGAGTGACAGAGACCGGCCTGCCAGTGACCCGAGCGAACAACCCTGATCCAGGGAGGCGACCCAAGCTGCAGAAGGTCATCCCGCCCTCAGGCTCCTCTGTCAGCCACAGGTGCCCTCAGCGTGCTGGAAGCGGCCGCGTTTTTCGTTCACTGGCAACCAGCTCAACCCCAACCTAGCCGCTTTCTTGGTGGGCACACCAGCCAGGGTCTAGTGTCCCACCCGGTCGACCAGGGCTGAGGGTCCTCAACAGGCCACGCAGGGCTTGGGGCCCAGGCCCCATTCCCACCATGGTGGTAACAATCCTAATCCTAATCCCCATGCCCACCATGGTGGTGTAG